TATGGCCCATAATTTCTTCATGGTTCCCTTGAGCAGTGACTCATACTTGACTCTGAATCTGCAGGGGAAAGAATATGAGTGAATACTCCCTGACCCCTGATGTGATATCCTTTATTCACAAAATAAAATGAAAATGATTGCTGTCTTTTAGCAAAGGGTAAAGGGATGAATGACAGAGATGATCACATCCATATGTTTTGGTGCAGGGTCACCTCATAGGTAAAGGCGATTTGATACAAACACAGGAGCCCCACCCACTTTGACACTGTCTTTTTCACAACTAAGAAATACAGCCTTGGTGTGTTTGTTCATTCTCCTCTCATAGCCCAGAGGGTGAAAGACAGCCCTATGTGGTAAAGTCAAGCTTCAGTTTCCCTCGCAATCCCTTCCCACCCATTCAATCCTGCAGGCTTGGCTCTAAATGAAGACCAAGTGGCAGCTTTACGACCTTTAGGAAATAAAAGCTAAGGCAACTAATCCTGCCCTCCCACCAAATATTGTCCCTTCTGAACCCTCAAAAGACCTTCACTCTAACAACCAAGTCTCCTCTGCAAAAACTGTCAACAAGGTCGATTTCCTAGAAAGGCCCTGCTGGTGTGAAATTTGAGATATTTTCATAGAGACTGACACCGACAAAGACAGAGCAAAGGTGAGTGGAAAAAACAAACAAAACAGAGGTTGTAAACAACTTTAAAACTGAAGATTAAGAGAGAAGGAGATAAAGAGGTGAACAAAAAGAAAAGAAAAGAAAAGACAGAGATAGACAGAGTGAGCTGTTGATCTCAGGATTCCAGTATTGATCTGAGCTTCTTTTTCTAATCTCCCTGCCCCCCCAGTAACCTCAGATGGATTGGACATGCAGCCGCAAAAAGCAATTTGACCCCCACCGCTGCCCTCACAGGTCACCCTTTAGTGACTGCTGACTTCGGGTTGCCATGGTGACAGAAAATTATGTCTAGGGCCCGGTTGGATGTGTTAAGAGGCTTGGATTTGTGCCCAGTGCCCCGTTGCTTTCCATCATAGGGGCCTATAAGGAGACAGCAGAGCATTATTGCACTGTTATTTATTTGGGGTTTTTGTAACTTTTGTGTATTATGTTTTTGAGGAGAAGAGGAAGGAACATTATGGTTGTTTTATCTTCGTGTTTTTAGCCATGCTCTTAGCCATGGACAATCACGGTCCACAGAGGATGAGTCCTCCTGACTCTAATGATCCCCTGAGTTTTTCTATAGAGACACCAGCAGGTCAAACTAAAGGGGTGACCCTTTAGCCAAATGGTAAAAGTGCATACAGTATAACCACAACCTCCTTAGTTGCCACCACAACGTTGACAGTGTTTAGTGAACTCTCTCAACAACAAGCTTGCAATGATGTGTTCCCCTCATGGTGAATTGTAATAACTTAAGTTATCATTTGACTTCTCCTCTAGCACCATAATCAAGTCAGGTTTGTGCAGTACTTTTATACCTGCAAAACTATTGACATTCACATCCTCTGCTGTGCTTTGTGTGTTTAGTGCTGATTAGAAAATTGTAGAATGCTAATCTAAGATGTAAACACTATGGCTAAACATCAGCATGCTAGCACTGTCATTAAGAGTAAGTCAACATTCTGATGTTAGCGTTTGGTTCAAAACGCTTCTGTGCCTATACAGCCTTACTGTACCACTACTAACACTGAAATAATATCAAATAAGGTGTAGTGACTACACCTTATTTGATATTATTTCAGTGTTAGTTAGGCATTTACATTTGAAATATAGTCCTGTGTACAGTATAAGAATGAAAATGAGGTAATATATGATTTCTCTGTCATTCTGTCAACCTTTTTCTGCTAAACATAAACATGAGAGCATATGACATTGTGAGCATATTAGCATGCTAATGTTAGCATTTAGCCCAAGGCATTTTATCTAAATACAGCCGCCAGTGTAACAGTTTGTATATTATAGATTTGCCACTATCGCCACAATTTCATGTAACTGTATAGATTAATGTATCCATGTAGATTTATTGATTCCAAGGCGCCCTCTCTTATCAGATAAATGCCACGGTAATAAAAATTACATGCCCAACGTGGGTTGCTAAGCTCAGCACAGCACTCTGTACAAACATGATGGATTAATAGCAGTATGTCCTCTATATGAATATGTGTGCAGTTTGACCTATTGAAATGCTAAGTTGTCTGAGGGAGAGTAATGCACTTTTCAAGCGCTAAATTGGTTATATAACATATATAAACTAGCTAGCTAGCCATTGTGCTGAAATAACTTGTTCTTCTGTACTGTGCTCTGTCTGAGTCAACGGTCAGCTGACCACTACATATATTACTGTCCAGTACATTTATTCCTATCCTGAGAATAAATGGCAGCACAGAAATAGAAGCAAGCCTGCCATCCATCCTTCATTCATAATTCAACACAAAGCAGTCAAATGGTTGTTTAGACAATTAGTCTTGCTTGTAACTTTTTACAATTAATTAGTGCCCCTTTGCAGTTACTGTGTGTTTTTTGAGGACAGCAGAAGGAGACATTAGGGTTGTTTGTGTCCTTTGGCTGAATGATGTAAATTAGTGTTTTTGAAGCCCAGAGGTGAGCCTGTCTCTGATTTATGTCACACGAATCCAGGGATACACCTGTCTGTGTTCGATTCCTCCCTCTACGCTCTGACACATAATCCCCAAGGCTTCCCTCTCTCGTTTCTTCCTTGTCAGCCACCATAACAGCCTAGAAAACAGGAGGCAAGACAGAGAAAGAGTAACAGGGAGTCTGTATAATGTGTGACTGAAACGAGCAAAAAGAAAAGCAAAGAAAGAGTGCGAGAAATACACATGCAGCTCCCTCTGGTTTTTCTCCCCACTGGATGGATCACGGCTCCAGTTCGAGCAAGTCAATCCAGTAGTGTTGGCGCAACAGCACCTTTCCTTTGCTGCAGTACAGCGTCTTTTTTACAAGTTTTATTCTGGGCAAGAGAGAATCTCTGTTGCAGAATGTTTGGGTGTTTTTTCGTTGGCTGATTGATGCCTCCACATGCCCACAGTGCATCTCAGCTGCTGAAAACACCACATCATGATGCAAATTTATTCAGGGACCAGCTGCTGTGTCAAGATGATTCTGCAAAAGACATCCTTGAAAGTTTTTAATGAGCTCACCGTTGTGAATAATGGGGACGGAGAGGTCACAGAAGTCAAAGATGGTACGTGCGTGGTGTGTGCTTGCATGTGTGGCGTGGGTGTGTAGGTCTCTTTGCTGTATAATATATGCATTCATTTATGTCTGTCTTGACAGTCAGCATTTAAGAACACTCAGCAGGAGGCATCTGAGCAGGTAACAAGTCATTATCTCATCAGGTCGAGAAAGAGAAATAGATCATATGAGAGCACACACACACACACACACACACACATACACACAGAAATTGACAGTATCTAGGTCAACAATGTGTGACCTGTAGACTGGACCTTGTATTTGATGCATAATATTGTATTTGAGTGGCAACTTAAGAGATTTGTGGAAAAGCAAGAGGATTAAAACCCCGTTTTATGGAGAACAGTTACGGAACTGCCATGAATAGCTTAAACAGCTTCTACTGGTCATGAAATGATTCTGGAATAATTATGAAATGTAACATGACACATCAGAAATCTGTTGTTTTGCTAACAGCCGCTACCTGTGTTCCTCACACAGGGGTTTGTTTGTGACGGTGTGTTCAGTCTCCTCTTTCATAGATTCTCTTCTCCTGGGTGAAAAGTAAGGAAATGTATTTTGCATCCAACATTGTGATCAGCAGGAGACGGGGAGATCATGTTGTGTTTGTTTGCACTGAAATCACCAGGCATCCTTTTTCTGTTATTCTAGCTGCAAATGGTGTGACATTATTACTTTGAAAAATTGTGATTTCAGAACACTTCCTTTGATCAAATTGTCACGAAACACATACATATAACTACAAACTACTGTAATCAAGAAGCGGTGCTAGTGGCTTAACATAAACTGGTCTCAACGTAAACCAGCATCCTGTTTTTTTTTTTTAGGTCGGCGCAACATTGTATTAGAGGTACTGTTAGGCAGAGCATCAGCTGATAATGGCCTCAGGTGGTTCAGTCCAACATGATCATGCAACGTGACTAAACCGGCTAACCTCTGAACCACCTCACCACTAATTGATACAATTACACTGTCAGCAGCTGGCAGACTAGAAGGCCGGAATCCAACTAAATGGATTGTTTTTCGCTTGTCTTGGGGGAGGGGCTGTAGGGAGGAGAGGACCCCAACCCCTCCTCCTTTTACAGCCTCATTTTGCTGATTCAGCCTTGAATAAGGTGAAGGGTCACAACTCAGGACTTCAAAATTTGGATGAAAGTCATCTTAAAATCCAACGAATGTCTTAATTCAAGTTATACAAATATTCTAAAGCTGTAATAAGAGATTTTTGGCCACTTGAAACCAACAACATGAAAACAACACAAACATGTTATCACCTTTTAAATTAGTGAACATTTGCCTATTTACACACCTAACAGACACTGAGCAACATTATCATTCTCTAAGCCCAGTGTTCCCTCTCTTTTAGCTCTGTTTTTGATCTCCACCATCTCCTTAGGGAAATATCTGGCTCTTTAGCTGCCAATGCTCCACTACGTTCGCCAGCTTGTGGCCAACTTTGCCTTTTAGAGAGCAAAATCAACACTACAGCTGCGAAACTGAACCAAAACAGTAAAGTTGTGGGCCAAAAAAACAAAACATTGAGCTAAAAAAAATGCCAAAATGTCTCAGCAGCTGCAGAGCCAGGTGATAAATCTTTGCGGGATTGTGACAACAAGCGACCCCTGTCACATTCACCGTCCTAAGATTCTTTGTTAATATAAAAATATTGATTAGAGGAGCTTTAAGGACTCACTCTTAATAACTTATAATTTAGTTAGCAACAATATATTATCCATTTCTTGGACCTAAGCCTAAATCATAAGGATGTTCATTCACTCACAGATAACAATGGATGTTCTGTACAGTGCTTCAATTTATTAAGTCTTCAGTGTTACAAAAATGTACAATTTGTATAAACACTATTGTTATAGTAAATGAAACTTAACCTCTGTGGCCATGAAGGGAATGCACTTAGGATTACTGTTCCATGGCAATGAAATTTAATATCATCTGGTGGCTCCATCACCACTGAAAAAAAGTCTCTCTGTCCAGCACAAACACAAAACTGTGGAATAAATATTGTGGGAAGTATTCATACATCGTGGAACAAAAACAGCTATTTAGTTAGGTATAATCTTGTGCAAGCTTGTGAAAGAATATAAAGACATTTTAAATTGTATTCTACATTTTTCTTCACCGTATACCTGCCACATTAATGTTAATGTGTTCGTATATTAGTCCTACACTTAATGGGCAAATGTCTTGTTAGAAATCTTTAAAACACATGTAGAAAAGCACTTAGTGAAGACTAACTGATAAGGTTTCCTTTAAATCTGTATCTTAAGCTTTCAAAGGGCAGCGGAACAAAGAATATGTCAATACTGCTTCAATTACTATGAGCAAATCCATTTCTCCTGACCCTCAGGCCGTGTGTAATTGTTGTTTTGTTGGCACCAATCGCTTTCCCATTTAAAGGGGCCATTAAACTTGGAAGTGTCTCAACAGTGGATAAATCTCTTAAGGTAATGTCCACAGTGTGAGCCAAGAGTTCATCTCTTTCTGTTCCTGTTGTGCTTCACCATCTTCTTCCTCTTCAGGATCATCTCGTACAGTTTCTCCAGGCCCGGCTGAAGTCCCTGGCCGTTCACGGCGCTGCAGCTCTGCACGTGATGCAGCGTGTACATGCTCAGTTCGTGGACAGAGAGCAGCTTCTCCACCTCGGTGACAGACAAGGCCGACTCCAGGTCCTGTTTGTTGGCCAGGATTAGCACGGGGACCCCCTGGTTCTCTGAGGTGCGGGTGATTTTATGGAGCTCCACTTTGGCCTCCTCCATCCGCTCCAGCTCGGTGGAGTCCACCACAAACACCATCCCATCCGTCCGCCGGGTGTAAGACTTCCACAGAGGGCGCAACTTCTCCTGCCCGCCCACATCCCACACCTGGAAGTTTATGGCCCGAGACGTCCCGACTGCCACTTTGATCTTCTCCGTGTTGAAGCCCTTGGTGGGGATGGTTTTCACAAACTCCTTCAGCTTGAGCCTGTAGAGCAGGGAGGTTTTACCGGCCGAGTCCAGGCCGATAACCACCACGTGCAGTGACTGGAAGTTTGGCAGGAACGGCGTGTTAGGAGCAATATCAGTCAGCTGGTTCCCCATGATTCCCAGCCAGCGATTCACACCTACTTAAGTGAGGTGAGGCGAGGTGACAAATTCCTGTTTTAATCCTTTTTGTAGGAGATTGGCATGTGCTCCCTGTCCTCAAAGGCAGATGGGATCAGATGGTGTGGAGACCTTATCAAAACACACACACACACACTGTGAGTTAATATTTAATGAGAAGACAATGGGTGCTTAAGGAATGTGTGTTTGCAATCCAAGTGCTATTTCACAGAAGAGACAGTGACAACAGCTAGAGATGATTATCAGAGGAAGAACATTTAAAAGCGCTTGATGCAATTTCAGCCAATCAGCATGGTAGTTCCTGTCATGTTGCCTTTATTGTCCCACAATTTATTCCACCCAAACTTGGGTCACTTCAAATTTTCTTTGAATCGTATAAAACAATAAACATGTTGGGGTTTTCAATGCCAAATTACAGAGCGCACAACAGTTAATTAGGTGTCTGAGGTTATCTTAGTTTCTTATTTGCTGAGGCTAATCCTCTTAAGGCTGCTAAACCTGAAGGACTTTTCTTGCATGGGGCAGATTGATTTCAGTGCAGTGGATAGATAATATGTATTCACCGGTTCACTCTGCCAACTGTCTATGAGGACTGCTGCTGCAGAACTAATCCGGTTGTTGTTGACATCCTGATACCCATCAAACAGCTGCCTCTGGACAGAATACAGCCATTGCATGTTTACAGGAAGATGTTATTTACTTATGACCCTGAAAATCATCATACTGCATCATATAAGATGCAGCGTCATTGCTTATAGAGGCAAAATGTCCTGTCATGCTTGTGAATTGGGGATTTTATTACTTCATTGTATTTGAAATTATTCTATTGGGAATAATCCACCTTAGTTTTCCTACTCTCCTGCATGAAACCTGCGCATCTAGTTTGGATTATGTGTGTTTTTTTTTTATGAGGTTTCATTTGTGCAAATGAGTTAAATAACTTATTATTACTATATTATTCTACCAATAGAGCCTGTAAGATGAACTTTAAAGGATTACAGAATGAACGGTACTAATAAAATAATAAATATGCATGCAGTTTACATAGCATGTAAGAATGCAAACATTAAACTGAGACTCTGTCCTCCTCCTCCGTGCACATTAAAAACATTCATACCTTTCTAAACGCGCGGTGACAACATCATCCACAGGAAAGAAACACATCCATAGTCGAAACAAACGGTGTTTGTCCCGTCGGTCACATCCGCTCCTGCTCTCCTCCAGCAGCACTGAGCAGATCTGGAGAGACTCGACTGCACGGCACCTAAAGGCTGGGTGACGTCACGGCCACCTGGACAGGCTAAACCACGCCCCCTGCCGGTCGGCGGCGGCGGCACATAACCAATCCACACTTGAGTGAGAATAAACAGTATCTTAGTGTTTCACTAAGCTGCTGTTACTTCTGCAGGTTAATTGGTCTCATCTAATGATTTTAGGATAAAATGTCTGAAATATCTTTAGTGGGTAAATATGAATGTAAGAGCAAAAAGCACCAGCTTCAGATGTCAGCCGCTTTCCACTTTCTTGACTCACTGCAGGATATTTGCTGATGTTCAGTAGAATCCATTCTTCTCTCTGCCTGTGCAGGGTCTCCTGTGCCAGTGGCAGCCACACAACCCCAAAGCAGAATATTTCTACCCCCATGCTTAACAGTTGGCAGAGGCAGTACTGTGTACATTGTTACCTAACAAAGCAATGGCTCCACCATGTGTCCACTCTCAAGCCCTTCAAGACCAGGAGCACAATGTGGGGTCTTCTTGTAGAGCCTTTTGTTTTTCTACACTTTGGCATTATATTGACTCAGAGATGACATTTTAATCTGTACTGGGGTGATAAATATAATATCTATGAGGTCATTCTGAGTATGCTCAACTAGATTTGTCCAAATAAAATGTTGTTTTTTTTATCAGAGACGCAAACATTTAGTCTGCCCACACAATAAAACACTTTTTATTGGATTTTAATCCATGATCATCACAGTTTAGCAGCCAGTTGTAGAAGAGGTACTCTAATGCATGACTTGATTAAAATACCACAATGTAAAAATGCTCACTTGCATGTAGAAGTCCTACATTAAAGAATGTTACATAAGTACAGAAGTATTGTCAGCAAAACATACTTCAAATGTAAAAGCTCTTATGTTGCAGATAGTTGTTATTATTATTAGTTTTCTTATAATATTAGATTATTATTACTGATACATTAACATGGAAGCAGTATTTCAGTGTTGTAGTTGGCCGTTGGTTGTAAAGGAGATATTGTAATGACTATAGTTGAACCTATTGCAATGAATCTTATTTAATAAACCTACTATACATTTATATGTAAAATCTCAGTCTCCAAAGTAACAAGTAACTAAAGCTGTTTAATAAAGGCTGTGGAATAAAAACGTATATATAATTATATATAATATTTCCCTCTGAAATGTAGTGGAGTAGAAGTATGAAGTAGGATAAAAGTCCACCTAAATTATAGTAAATATTCCCCACTACATCTTTTGAGAAAATGATTGAGTCAGTTTTATTTAAAGCTTAATTTACTCATATCTAAATAATTCAGATGTGATATGTTTTTCAGTCAGTCTAGACTATCCTCGAAACAAAACTCATTTTATAGGAACTATTTGCACAGTAGAAAGTAGTTCCTATAAAAAACTGTTCACAGTGAAGTCTTTGGATTATCCAGATGATAACATTGCTGGAAATAGAGTTTTCAATGTTGTGATATCGCAAAATCTGAACAAATACAACCAAGATGAGATGCATGGCCAGAAACCACTGGGAGTATGTGAGAAGAAGTTAAGGTACAAGACGTAAAGAAATTGTGACATAGCTGGATACATAATGGTAGTGACTCTCATGAAGTCATTATGGATTATTATATAAACTGGAAACTGAATTGAGTATGCACAAACTGTTTTGACTGTTTCTATTCAGTGGAAAAAAGCTCCTCTGCCACTGAATCTTTGTTTGGAATTAGTTCAGTATCACCAAGTGAAAAAATAAAACTCTTACAAAACCTTAAATGCCACAGTTTAATAAAGTGCAAATGAAAAAAGACAAAATTATCAGAAATTAACATCCTGTTTACACAATGTGTGGCATCCTGCCCAAAAAAGTAAGCTGTTGTGAAATTAGTTACATTTTTACAAAATGTACATGGTTTAACATGAAAATACAGTTTTAACACTTTGCATTTCAGAAACCGCTTGTTTCACACAATTTTATGAGACTAATTTGCCTGCAACACAGATTTACAGGCAGATCTCAAAGAAAACACATTCATTCAACATAGAATAAGAGTATTTGAATAATCTATCTACAGTATATTTTTAAATTACAACTTTGTAGTGACTGATTAAAAACTTCAGGTATGCTAAAACAACATACAGAATAAGATTGGATGCATTTTCGCAGACGTTATCATTCACACATTCACATCCTATACAAAGTACAATGCAGCCAGAATATTCATTATGTCACACTTTGGTGTTTTTCATTTTGGTTTCATCGGCTTACAGGATGTGGGATCGTTGAATTGGTGCCACAATCAATATATTCAAACGTGTTCATAGACAGCTGCTCCGTGTGGGAGAGATAGGAGATATTCATTGTCATTCTGCAGGAAAAGAGAATTAAAAAAACAGTGAGAGTCGGTTGGAGCCGGTATCTGCTTTGTCATGATTTTATAAGGTTTTAAAGATGTACTGATCAATTTTTTTATATTAACAATGTGTCAAATATCTGTGTGAAATGTGAAAGGATTGGATCGTACTGATGCTGCAGTTCATCTCAACTCTGCGTTTTAGCATCTTTTAGTCCTTGTTTTAGTTTTCGCAAACCAGAAACTCCACTCCCAAAAAAAACTAGCTTCTAGCCACAACAAGCAGCAGATAAACCAACTGAACACCACTTCCCCAGCACCAAATAGCAGACAGATGAAGCTAACTGCTGGCTGGTGAACATAGTCAAGCATTTAGCAGTTAAACAACCTGATATTCCCCTCAGGAGTTGGTAGAGACCAAAAACAGAGCTAAAAGACAGGGAATATTGTGCTAACATCCACCAGGTGCACACAAACACATCTCCACACGGACTAATGTGTATGCTGGTGTGTTAATAACTGTCACCATAACAACTTCATAAATTTATAAAGTCAATACTTAGTTTTCAGCCTCCAAGTGCCCAAAAAAAAAATGAATGCAGCAGCTTTAAGATTAAGATTCAACTATTAACAAGAAATACTATGTCATACAGTGTTACAGTATATATAACTAAAATAGACTGTGACAAACACTGGGTGGTCTGCACTTTAAAAACAGGAAATAATATATTGTGGCTAGTTTGCAGTGTGTAGGTGTATAACATAATAATTTTTTTTAATTTTTACTGAAGCTTAATTTTCATTGTGGCCTCTGGTTTATTATGTGTGGCCAATACAAACTGACTGAAGGAAACCTCAGCAAATACTGACAGTTTAGTTTGCACAAAAGCCACATTAACAAATGTAAATGTAATAGTGTGTTCAGTAGTTGTACTGGACTGATCAGTCTAGTCAGCTTAAAGAAAGGTACTCTGCCATTTATTTGCATTTAGTTGCATCTTGAACTCAAATGAGAGTAGTTTTTTTGAGTGTAAACAAAACATTGACTCCTAAAAGCAAAGCGTGTCTTTATGTTATCACAACCTTTGTGTTATCTCGAAGGAACATTTCAGATTTAAAAGATTCAGCTTCGAAGAATAAGGCCACATTTTAAAGATAATCAATTTTTGCGGTTGTGGTTTTCACAACCCTGCCCTGCACAAAGTGATGCCTTTAAACAGAATTTGAGATGTGCTAAAGCGCCAGCCTCTTCCTCTAAATTTCAGATCGACACTTACTGCAGCTCCAGAAATAGTGTGTGAATCTTGATAGAGGTCGATTTGCAGTAAGTGCTGAAAGAGATAAAACAGTTGATGTGTGGATATGTGCCGAATTCATACATGTAAACAATAATGCTGGACGTAGTGTTATATCATTCTGGTTTCAAACTTACTTTAAGCCTTTATCCATGATGGGCAGGTCAACTCGAATGGTGTACTGCAGAAGTTAAATACAGAGATGTAAGAATATTACATATCAACAATATATTTTCACGTGAATCCACCTGGAAAACTCACAGATTTCTGTGATCTGGACTGGATGGCGGTCATGTTCGATATCTTGGTCTTGCCCACAACTATGTCGGTGACCAAACCCTGCACGTTAAACTCAACGATCTGAACCGGGACAAAGTTGTTGTTGGTGATGTTGATGAGATTCTAGAGGAGAGAACACACACTGCAGGTAAGATGAAAAACAACAACTAAACTGTATCTATCATTAAAAAAGCCTCAGTGAACTTTGTCCTCACATAACTTCAGCAGCTATCTACAGGCTGTCATGTGAAAGCAATTCAGACGGTTCCTTGTGTTTTGACACGCCCAAGAAAAACAGCTACTCAGTGAGTTCAAGTACCGAAAATAGAAAGCACACAGTATAACATACTGTATATGTGGAATGATATATACAGTCTGTCCTGTGTTGAATAATCTGTACATTGACTTCCTTTAAATTGCTGCTGCTAGTTTATAAATCACTAACAACCTCGGGCCAAAACAACCTCTCTGATATGCTTAATGAATATAAAAGATTTAGGGTTACTTACTGTATTACTGCACTAGAATTGCAATGAAACTGTATTTCTTGACTAATATTTTTGTCTAAATTCATTTTATTCCATTTCAATTAATATTATTTTATTTGTCACTGTGTTTTAAATGTTGCTAATGCTAAAGCTATTGCTTTTCTCTTTCTTAAAGGAATAGTTGCATATTTTGGGGAACAAAATGCTTATTTCACTGTCTTGACGAGTGTTGGACGTGATGAAAAAATACCATTCTCGTGTCTGTATGCTATGAAGGACAGCCAGAACACAGTTGGCTTAGCATAAAGATATAATTAATATGCGTGCAAAACAAATTATAATCAGTATGAATCAATTTGAGCTTGTAGGGCTGAATATTATGCTGTAGCTTCTTTGACATGTATGACAGCAGATCAATCCCTGCACATACTTACAATTGACAATTACAAAGTGATTTTGATTCAGCAAAGAGGCAGGCACAGATTTACATGTAACAAGGGCTGTAACTCTATTATTAGTATTCCTCTTGCCTACCGTGACCTCCATATCAACTGTGTCTGGGGTGAAGTAGACCATGACTGACAGCACAGACACGGGTGTGAGGGTGATGCTCCGGGGGAAGAGGAAGAAGAGGATCAGACAGCAGAGCAAGAGACACACGGCCATGGAGATGCACACATACAGCTTCCTGAAAGGCAACACAAATGTGCGAAATTAAATCACATTAAAGGTCCAATGTTTTACACTTTCCCTTTGAAGTGTTGATCCATAAGAAGATATATTTGTGGTTTTAAGAACCAAAAACCATCTCAATGTAGTTTTACATCTCCTCTCTCAGGCTTCTCTCTGGAGCTCTAGTAACAACAGGTCAGTGAGCCAATCAGAAGAGAGGAGGCTCTGAGCCTCTATCTGCAATATTTCCATCTAAAATATAAAATACAAGTACCTCAAATTTGTACTTGAGCACTAAAGTAAATGTACTTTAGGTACTTTCACTGCACACACACATACACATGTATTCCTTACGTGCGTCTGGGTTTCAGCCTCACATCATTGCATGGTATCACAGCTACCAGCTGGTCTTCATGTCCTGCCAACACATAAAGACAGAGGGAAATAGCAGTGTCTTCCCAACTATTGTTCTTACCACAAAACTGATGTGAAAGTGTCTGAAACAGACTCAGCTGCACATTTGTGTCTTTCAGTTTGACTTGGTTCCCTTATTGTTACATGTGAAATGAAACAGCTACATTGAGGATGAGGAAGGTTCACATTTTGCATGGCAAAAAACCAACCTCTGGGAATTCGTCCGGTCCCGCGACATGTGGGACAGGTGTCTCCTGTTGAGTTTCCATTCGTGGAGCCATATGAAGGAAAGTGCTTCAGTGTTTTACCCCTCTCCGTCCCCACTGTCAGATCAGGATCCTCTGAGATTGAGCTGTGATGTCCTTGTGTACCCATGACGTTTCATCGAAAGAAAAAGTCCAGTCTAAATGAGAAAAAGCAGAGACCACAAAGGCTGGAAAAAGCACCTAAAACTCAATTAAGCTTTACAGTACGTGTAAACCCACTGCAGAATTTCCACATGAATCCATTTCTGTCCTTCCTGAGACGCTTCAGTCACCTTTGATACCAGACTCTCTCACAAACCTTTAAATGACCAATAAAATCTTGTTCTTGACAGGATGTGAGCAGAGTCAGCAGGGTGGGAGTGATAGAAAAAACACATTACTATATAGTTCTATTGCAACTTATGTGTATGTCCAAGCAGCTTCTGGGAGCTCAGATGTGATAAACAGACATCAAGCATAGTGACTATTCTTTCACATATTCTGGATTTTACCTCAAAAGTACAACACTACCTCTAAATATCGCCTGTCCTGTCCAGTTTCCAGGTGGATGAAACACATATATGAAGGCTTTCCACCGGCCGTTTCATGTATTGATCCAATAATGACAAATTATTGTGGAATGTGATCATATTTCAGTGGAGGCTGAAGCCCTGAATCATCCTGCTTCCACAATGGCTGCTATGACACAACATTTTTAAAGAATGAGTTGTTATACGATCTGGAAACATTTTACAGTAATGTAGTAAGAGTAAACAGAGTGGATGCAGTTTATTTTTTTTATTTAGTCAACTGGATAGTCTATACAGTGACATAAAAAACAGGTTTATTTTTACTCTTGCATGTAAAAGTCACGTGTGGTTACAAAAACAGTCTAAATTTGAAAAGACAGATTTAGACCCCATCCACCTTTTTCCATGAGGAAGCTAAACTGGTTTGTTTACTGTGCTGCACAGTAGCTTCACAAACATGCCGCAGGCCTTCATAGAAGTACACTATTTATAGTGAACTTATTTTAATGTGAATTATATTATAATTTAACATCATTTAAACACAATTCATAACTGCCAGAACTGGCTCGGCTGCAGTTTAAACTTCCTCCAACATCAAGGAGCAAAGTACCTTTGTTATAAAAATTAAAATTGAGAATATTTCCTGTAAGGACCTACATGCAAACTGCAGCTATATTCATCTCAGCCTACATTTTAGAGACCTCACTGAACAAACCTTTAATAAATCAATGTGTGATCATTATTCTGCAACAGTGGAATATAATTAAGTACATTTATATTCAACTATTATGCTTTTAGGCTACATTGTGCTTCTACTTCAGGGGAAATATTCTACTTTTTACGCTTTATTTACTAGTTATTCTACAAATGAACATTTCCCATAGATAATAAATCATAATCTTACAGGTTAAACTACTAAGTGTATAAATGTTGGTTGTCAGATTTATGCTGCTGTCGAAAACAGTGAAATATGGCCTGTCACACTTGAGCGGGACATGTGGGCGAAAAGTCGTCACGCATTAGTTCAGCTGACGGCAGATCAGCTTCCTCCTGCGTACTTACCTCCAACACGACTTCAGTTTGGCTTAGAGTCCAAATATCATCCAGTGTAAAGAGAGTAGCTGCTGCTCCACCGCTGGTTTCTTTAGGGGTTCAGTTTGAAACGCTGCATTGATACTGATAAGAAGCTACAGATACCACTGTCTGTACACAATGAAAATCCGAAGGGAGGATCACTTCCTTCTTCTTGAAGCGGCAGGTCCGTGAAGGCAGCCTGCAGTGTCAGATCACATGAGCTGCTTCAGAGTGACTTTCCTTCCTTTGCACAGTAGCTGTTGCAACACACGTCTAGGCACATTAGTTAAGATAAACTATTGAATCCAAATGTAAAGCCTGACACTAAAGCCATTTTATCGTGGAATCTTATTTCAGCATGTAAACACGGCACAGCACGGCCAGAGGAACCTGGGGTGGCGCCATGGAGGGAAAAAATTGCTTGTTGGGCCCCTTTCGACCCCGACCCCTCGCCTTGTGTCCTCTGTGCATTGTGTATGTGACCTGTCATCGATAAGTATATTGATTAAGTACATTACACACAGCAAACTATACATACCCCCGGAATACTGAAATTTTGAAGCAGTTTAAAAAAGGTTATGCAATGGAATTAAAAATGTATCCCTGTCGCAACATTTGAAAATTGCTGATGATATAAATAAAAAATCACACCATCACTCATTGATTATTTTTTTAGTTAAACATGAATTCCGAATGACTTCTATTACTTCTATATGACTATTATTATTATTATTATTATTATTATTATTATTATTATTGACATTTTTTTTATTTTATCATTACAATTCATTCTTTTGGCCACAGTAATCATGTAGTGAAAATCTAATGACTAGAATTAAAACATGAATATAAAAGTAAAAATATAGATAAGTGGTTCCCAACCTGTGGGCTGGAGCCCACTGGTGGCAGGCGAAGGTATTGCAAGTGGACCGACAAATCATTTGCAAAACAATACAAATTTTGGTTTTAAAAGTTTTAAAACAAAATGATCTTCAAAACATTAAAAAAGTTAAAAACTCATTCCCTCATGAGACAATTGAGTGCTAACAATTTACAATGCAGTACGTGGAGCACACAGTAACCTGTGTACCATGTTGTTAGCCCAGTACAGACTGCCCTGTATGTAAGACATAGTGTGTGCAGTATGTCACGACCCACATATAGACATTTCTCATTAATAGACAGTTGGAGAGACAAGAGAGATGTGCAAATAGTTTATTGGCGGATTGACAGTAGAAGGGTATTTCATGTATACACTCTGTGGCAGAAGAATAATTTGACAAGCATAGTAGGTATATTCTGAATTATTCTCTAGAGCATGAATTTTCAGAAATAATGGAAAATTGCCAACATAAGAAAATATGGTTCCAGAATCCTCAACCGCACACACACACACACACACAAAGAGAAATGATTCAAACTAACATTAACTTCCATCTATACACACACACCACAAACAATGTCAAAATCAACGTGTATTTCAGTAAACTAAAACTCCTCTTTCATGAAGGCAAATTAATGACAGAAAATATACTTGGTTCCACTAAGAGTTTATGGAATGTGTTGTTAGAGACATCTAGGTTTAGGATTAGTGTTAAATGACAGTCACTAGGTTTTCAGTTGGTGGTTGTACGACGGAGTTTTAGGGCTAAATTGTGGAAAAGAAAAAATCTGATTTTTAAAGAATAAATTTGTAAGTTTACAAGAAAAAAGTTGTAATTTTATGGGGAAAAGTCATAATATTTTGAGAGAAAATGTAAAATTTCAAGAGAAAAAAAAAATTTTTTTTGGGAATATTACAAGCAACTAATAAAAAGGGTGAAGGGACAGTCAGTTGCAGCCTGAGCTGCTTCTGGCAGCAGCTGTTTGTCTGTCTAACAATAACATAGACTCAGTTTCTTGCACAATCTTTTCAATGTCCTGGTGCTGATGATGAAGTGATGCTAAAACAACACCTAACCTAAAATTCTAACTTCATTTTTAATTCTTCATTCTTGTAATATTAGATATATTCTTGTGATATTGTCATATTTTTTTCCTCAATGTGGCCCACTCCATCGTATGGTTGAATGACGATACGTGAAAAAAAAAAAAAAAAATTCAGGCAAGGGGGTTCAACGGGTTCAACGATGACGCGAGGCGGACTTTTTTTTTTTTTTTTTTTTTTTTTTTTTAATTCCACTGTGACTTTGCTAAGACACAAGAACACGACTCGTCTCTAAAGCCTCTACCTGTCATGCAGGTGTCTTCTAAAAAGCAGTAGAAAACATCTGAAGTCTGAACGGTGAATCCGTTCAGACAAGTTTTGTATACATTCCACATGTCAACGTCTAAAATAACAGTACTCTGATACAGAAAAAGATTGCATTGTTTAGGCAGATTTCACTACGATAATCAAGAGAAAGGTCATAAATATCTGTTTGTTGTTCCTACTACTGCACTGCTGACCCTTAAACACCCAGAAGATCCACGTAGCTTCAGTAGCTTCGTCTTAAATGAGAGCTGGCTCTTCAGGACGCTTTACGACATTCCACGATATTCACTTTCACTGCTCTATTTGTGAGAAGATTCTAGCCAAGCCCTGACAGAAAGACAACTATTTTTCAGCGCAGAGGAAGCAGCTACAACAGCCATACAAACACTACAATGAAGAGCTGAATTACACACTTTCCACCTGTCAAAACTACAGTCCCTACTCTCCATTTTGACCAACACAATAAAGCTCTATGGCCTCAGGTAAACAAGGCATGGCGAAGGTTAACCACTATCCAGAATAATTTACAAATGTGTATATATATACGGTTCATTTCATCCGAAATGTTGAAGCTAAATTAAAGGCAAAGGCAGGAGAAGCCGTTCACAAATGCTCGTTTCATTCTAATCAACAGCGTTCAAGAAATAAATGCTCCTATATCATTTTTGATCCATGTTTTTTTTTTTTTTTTTTTTTACATATATTTCAAGTGGCATTTTTGTCCTGTTGGTCCAAATAAAACTATCCACCCTTTGAGAAATCAATCAGTTGCATGAATCATAAATAGGTTTTCTTTGTCTCTTCTTTAAATAACTCAAAAATAAATCCAGAGGCTGGAAAGGGTGAGAAAATAATCTAAATATTCTCATTACATTTAAGTTTAAAAGTCAAATAAACTCCCTCCCGTCACTCTTTTACAGTAGCTTTCCTTCACAGCTTTCCCTCCCTCAGCGCTGGGCTTCCACGGCTTCCTTCTGGCTGTCCTCTGCCATCTGCACCAGCTCGTTGACGGTGTGCAGCAGGCTGTAGCCGTGCTTCCTCAGCAGCCGCTGGTTGAGCCGCTGGTCTCTGAAGCCCATCTCCAGCAGCATGGCCATCATGGAAGGGTCCTGTCTGGTGGCTGGGTCGATGCCTCGCTGAAGGGGAGGAAGAAAAACGGGTTAAGAGGAGAGTGCTGCGCAGTTGTTAAATCATTTTATTTGACCACTTAGAGGCAGTGGAAACAAGCTGCAAACATAACACTGACCTACTGTCATCTTCTAAAATTGTTATGGTGAACATGTTAGCTCTCTTTTAGCTCTGTGCTTGGTCTCCACCAACTCCTGAGGGAAATATCTGGCTCTTTAGCAGCTAAATGTTCACCAGCTAGTTGTTAGCTTTGACTGTCTGCTGTTTGGTGCTGAGCGGGTGGTGTACAGTGGGTCTTTACAGCTTTTACTCTGCTCCCTGGGGTTAGAGATGACACAATGAGAGTGGCGACCTTGAACCAAAACAGTAAAGTTTTGCCGGAAAACCAAAACAATGAGCTGAAAGACACGAAAACGCCTCACAGGTCTACTGGGAATGTGATGTCTCAAACACCAGTTCTTCCTATGTTGATCACTTTTTTGGAGGAACAATATATTTTGGTGTGTTTATGTAATAAAGCACTGACTCATAACTCTTCCTGTTGCACATTGGCTACATTTCAAAAATGTAGATATGAAGGTTGCTGTGTGATGTACCTGTATTGAACAGTTTGGTCCAGTGAAGAGAGCCTTATAAGCGGACGCTGCCACAGAAAGGGCTCCCTTGACAAGCCCCTCTGTGATGCCTCCTTGGCCCCTGGTGCAGAGACAGAGATGTGGTTACACTGGGTTGTGTAACAGTATTACAAAGAACAATGTGTTCCAGTTTGCATCATTGTCACAAAAAGGCACAAACAGTAGATAAAATGTCAGTGTAGGCAAAGATGTTTAGACTAAACTGCAGGATTTTCCTTCACTAGAGTGAAGCGGATCAAGTTTTACTCTTGTTATGTTTCACCTTGGCTGCAGCGCGTTGCTGGGTCTGGGGTTGTATGTCTCAAAGGCACTGGATGCTGAGCCTGCTGATCTGGACAGACCAGATGACACTGCAAAACAGATAAGGAAATAACAACACACGCATACGCACACACACGCGCACACACACGCGCACACACATGCGCACACACACACACACACACACACACACACTAATATTAGAGGCTTTTGCTGAACAGCAAAATCCTGAAAGCCTGTGTGCTGCCTGACTTCCTCTCTTAAAAACAAAGGGAAAAATGTGTTTCCTTTCTCAACTCAACAGAACCAGCTACTCCTCAAATGACTACATTGCTAATTCAGGTCAACAAAGTGAGTAGTTAAACACACTGTAGTTAAACTCATTTTAAATCTTATTTATGTTTTGCAATATAGCGGCTGAGTAAAACTGCTGTAGTGGTTCGTGTGCCAGTACGTACTGTGACACTAATGTGCTTATATCCAGTGATTCAAATAGTAAAACTCACCATTTAGGTGGACCCTTGGTTGGTGTGGCTCATAGGGTTCACAGGCTGGAGGACTGGGGTCCTCTGCCAGGTACAGTGCCTCAGACCTGAAACGCAAAGTAAATAACCTACAATTGAAACATATAAAGGCTGAAGCAAAGAGATTAAAATGAAAATGGAAAAAGCTTCATTTTGAGGTTTTATTAAAAATCTAAAACCAGAAATGAATATGCGCCCATTTTAAATATTAGAAATGTGAAAATATAGTTGTTACACTGTTGAAAATAGTTAAAAAAAGACACAAATTCTGTTGTTTCAACATCAAGGGATCCTGTCCAACCTGCATCATATCATATTCCAAGCCTTTTTCCCCTGCAACTAGACCCTGATCTGAGCCTGAAAAACATAAATTAACATTAATACTGGGCTTCTACAACTTCTGGCACGTTTCACTGTGTATTGATAACGAGAACATAAAATCTGGCAGTAATCCAGTTTGAAATTGCAAATAATGTCATAGTATTTCCAATGAAAGTTACATAAAACTCTACCTCTGACCCCAAACTTTAATTATTACATACTGCTACAAAAACATGGAAAACCTCTGTCCACCTACACAAAATATATATAAAATATCCATAATATCTAAAATATCTCTGTTTGTTTTATGCATGCTGACAGATTTCTGAACTACAGTGACCATTTGACTGCGCCTCCCTCTAACCTGGGTGAATAGAGGGCTGGCGGGGACAGCAGCGGGGGCTCAGGCAGAATTGGCGGTGGCACCACTTCAGGGGTGAGCGTCACGGCGTCCAGAGTCTGGGAAGCACACAGCATCTGGTTCACGCTGCTGTGGATGGGAGGGGCAGGTGGAGGCCAGGTGTTCACCGAGGAATCCTCAGCAGCGACCACCTCCATCCTCTCCTGCCTCTCTCCCAGCGGCTCGGAGTTAGAATCGTCTTCTTCTTCCTCCTGGTGTACGTCTGGATCGGCTGAGGTCTCAGCAGCAGCAGCAGCAGCAGCGGTGGCGGCGGCGGCGGTGTCAGGCTGTGACATGGCGGAGCTGTACATGGATTCCCCCAGAGGACGGCTGGTGTCAAAGCAGTCTGGGAGGACGATGATGTAGTCGTCGCAGGAGGAGACTGAGGAGGTCTGGCTGCTGACCTGACACACAGGAGGATGAGATGGTGACATTTATGGACTTCATTATAGGATTATATTAGAGACAGGCCTTCATTTATAATGTTCCCCAGTTAATGTAAACTCAAATCTTCCTCCATATTTACCTGTGGTCTTGATAAATTCATCTTGCAAGATCAAGGATTTTGGGTTTTACTGCTTTTACCAACAGCTGACAGCAACAAACACTAATGATGAGGCTCAGGTTCTGAATACAGGCTGTGTGCATTTCTCTGTGGACTGAGCGCTTTGATACTTTCATAGTATTTATATAGAACCTAGACCTGCTTTATAGTCAAACAACACATGGACATCTACCTTTAGACAATATGGGACCTTTAATTCTCACCTCATCCCAGTCCTCTCTGGTTCCACCTTCCTCTTTCTCATATGGAGTATCCTTCAAGTTTTGCATGTCATCCAAAACCACGACTTCCTCATCTGTATTATCATGATGTGAACTGATATGCAGGTTTTCATTCACTGTTTCCAGGAGAAAACCTTAAAAACACAAACACCAAAATGAGCAGGCGAGGCTCCATTAATTAATTATTACAAAAGATGTGACATGCAACTGTAATCACACAATGTTTTACGTTAATGTAAAGACATTTTTCAATAAGAAAAATCAGAAGCTCTATTGGAAATAACAGAATTCAGGAAGTCATTCTCTAACCTGGCTTTGTCTCCTCATCTTGGGTGATCTGGTTGAGACCTGTGTTGGGAGGCAGAGCTGAACTCTCAAGTCTAACGGCACAGATCTCCTCATCTCCTTCTTGTGCCCTCTCTGTCTTCTCAGCCTCCACTGTTCTCTCAAAGCAAACGCTGGGACCCCGGGAGACAACTGATAACCAGAAGAAACAAACCAGAGCGAGCACCTCATTACACGGCAACTTTTAAAAAACAAAACAAATACGCTATATTTCTGAACACAGGTTTGTTGGATGATTTTGGTGATGGTATAGAATAATACAGTCCAGGGTCCTCACCCTGTGGTTTGTGGCTGCTGTGAACTCTGCGCAGGGGTCTGTGGTCGGGGGCTTCCTCCAGTGTGAGGGAGCGGATGACCGTCTCACAGAGGAACTGGGCTCCGCTGATCTCCTCCTCCCGCTCATCCTCCTGGGTCACAGGCTCCAGAGGCTCCCTCTGCTGTCCCAGTTTCACTCCTGAGCAACACACAACTTTAATTATCACACACTGCTGACAAGAAAGACAGTCCACATCACGTTCATACTATTACACACACACACTCATCTGGAAGTTTTCTGGCCCTCGACCCGTCTTACCAAAAAGTTTTCTGACCCCTGTGACCTCTGTGTCTTCTTTTATCTGTGAAGTTATGGCCTTCTCCAGTACTGGTGCATCATGGGGCAGAGGGGATATGCAGGGTGTCAAATCTACACATTAGGTAGAGCAAACAGAGCACAGTTTATTTACCTAATGTGTTAATGTTGAAGAGAAGTGTAGCCAGAATTTTAACTATAAAAGCAAAGACAATTTTGAAAGGAAGGGAGTTACACAAGAAAATTGTCTCACAGCTCATTTTACTGAAGTGTTTAAAGCATCATGTTTTGCTTACCAACAGGAGTGTTATTAGGAACCTTCTCCAACTCTTGCACTATATTTATATCCAGCAACTCAAATGACAGTAGATCCTAGAAAAGAGAAGATGCAAGAAGAATCCTAAACACAGTAATGTGGACCCTTTTCAAGTGGAAATTTGACTTGGTTTGATCATTTAGCCACAGTGCAACAGGTTTGATGAATGACAGAGCTTTGAATATGCACCTGTGCAGTCAGCAGGTCGACTGAGGGGAAGTAGTAGTCTTCATGGTCGAGGTCTACAGACCTAACCTCTGCCTCCTTCTCCACTGGCCTCACCTCCTCCTTCTGAAGCACAAACAAGAACAGCATCATTATTATCTCTACAGTGTTCATTCAACAACGGCCATTTCTATGATGATTATGGATGTTCCCCACTTGTAATTATTCTTTTTGTTGATATTTCAGTGTTTGAAAACACTCTTGAAGTACATACTCGTGTTCTACTACTTTTTACATGCACAGAACTTCTAGATTCTGGTCTCATTCGGGATCAAACCTAATCACCATGTGCATCCAGACCGCAACAACAAACAGTTTATAAGGGTAAAAGAAGAGCGAAGGGTCCCTGAACTCCAGTCTTGTCTGTTTTTAGGTTGCAAACACCACTGTGTTGTTTACATTACATTACTTTCATTATTGATTCATCTGTTTGTGTTTTATCAAATAATCATTTAGGCCATAAAATATAGAAAGTCATAATTTCCCAACACCCAAGGTGACATCTTCAAATGACTTGTTTGAGTTATAGTGATATAAAATACAAAAAACAGAAAAACTTCACATTTTCAGAACAGGAGACATGTTTGTAAATGTTTTGACTTTTACCTTGAAAACTGATGTTGATGTTTAATTGATTATATACAAAATTGTTGATGATTAGTTTTCACTAATTTAGATACGAAAGATCCACCTGCAGCAACAACTAATCGGAACTTAGTTATGTCCAATAATAAAATAATCTAGTTGTACATGTCAACAGTTGTACAGGGTGTCATTGGTTAGCAGACTTGCCAGTCTTTTGCTCTGATGTCCGAGTGTGTTGCGGCCGTCGCCGGGGTCGACCACGATGCTGCACCACACGCGCGGGCCAAACTGACACCCGCAGTGCGCCAGTCGCCAGTGGGAGGTGTACGTCCCCTCCATCACGGGAGCGACAAAGGCCACACTGACCACTCCCACTTGTCCGGGCAGCAGCAAGGGGACCGGCACCTCCCTCTTCTTCTCTGAGGCCAGGCCGAGGTTTCCCCACATGAACACTAGCTGGGTGCACGCACACACATACACAAAACACAAAATAGAAATACACATGCGAAAAGGCACAAAGACGAGAGCATGCAACCGAAGTCACACAACAGAAAGGATGTACGCAGTCAAGTGAGAGGGTCAGTCACACACACACACACACACACACACACACACACACACACACACATTCAAACAATGACAAAGACTTAAAAACTTAAACCACAGATTCAACTTAATTTAAATAATAAACATCTCAGACAGAAATACATTAGTGGTATTAGGCTGGATAAGAAATCTTAGCTGGTGTTAGTGGATAAGAAGAAGCAATGAGCTGAGTGGGGGCTCAGTGGAAGTGAAGCAGGGGGGCAAAGAGAGAGTGGGGCCTGTCCTCTCGGTGGGTGGGAGGGGTACCTTAGTCTCTGAGGTCCAGCTGATAGTGCCCGAGTTCCTCATCTTCCAGTATTTGATGAACTTGGTACCAGGCTCCAGACGGGTGCCGTCAGGCAGATTTTCATCCAGAAACAAGGCAGCCATAGTGGGCACCAAGGACGTGTGCGAGACCCCGGGACCCCTAGTTTCAAGTGTACAGAGCATTGTTGAAAATAGCCCTGGTTTCTTATAATACCCATCTCTTTTGTTCTCTACGAATCAAAAAAGCAGGACCCCAGATTTTTTTGCAGCTCAAAAGCATTTTTTTCTTAGAAAATCTATGAAGCAGCAGCAGCAGTTTTCACATTGAGGTAGTTCCAACATTTTCCACCACCCCAGAGCAGCCAGCGATACACTTATACAGACTAGATTACAAAGATGGCATATTTTGATTTCTTTTCTTGGAAAAAAAGACTTTTTTGCATCCATGCTGGGTTCGAAGTACCCAGCACTGTCGGACGCCCTTCCGAGGTGGCGCTTACTCTGGACTGGAGGCCTGGGGATCAGGGACCGGGGCAGGGATGGGACCTTGGGCTGGGGCTGGACCTGAGGCAGTTTCTGAGGCGGCAGGGGGGGGCAAGGCTGGGACCTGGGTGGATGTGGAGGCCATGTTTGTCAGGTTGGCTCTGCCTGAGGTAGAGGGCCCACTCCACTGCAGCCCCCTCTTCTCCAGTCTGAGTTTCTTCTTGATTTCCTTCACTTCGGCTCTTAGCTGCCTCCTTTCTGCTTTGAGGCGCTGTCGCTCGGCCTTGCGTACTGTCCTGTCTCCTCGCCTTGGGAACCTGGTTTGAAATGTCATCAGGAACACCTATTTGTTGACTATCAAAAGCTTGTTTTCCAAGAACAAAACACATTCACACTCATAATTCATAACTTAGCTGCTAAAGCATTTTGCAGCCCTGCTTTGCACCTAATTCTATTTATGCTTGCCTCCATTAACGTAGTGATAGCAAAAGGGCTAGCACTGCTGTTAGTAACAGAAATAACTGTTTCAACTGTCTCTGGGTTTTACCTTAACTCTCCGGACATCCCATGCTCGGGGATGGAAAGAGGAGTCTTGGTTCTCACGAGGTTGTGGCTGGGGTCATGGCTGTGTCGGCACATCTCACACAGGATGCAGGACGGGCACACACTGGCAGGGAAAAAGACAACAAAAACATCAAGATGGATTTTCATGAAGCTGCTTAAAGAACACAGAGCATGCGAGAAAAAGCATGTGACTGACAAAGAACCAACTCATAAAAGGTATAAAGGTCTGAAAGATCAATGAAAGTAAATAAATGACATGTTGAAAGCATCAGAAGGTTTTCCATGCTTACCTGCACTTGTAGGCCCCCTCAGAGGTGAGTTTGTTGCAGCTACTGCAGTTTGGGGTGTAGCCAAGGGACCCATTTGAGGTGGAGGGACCCGGCCTGGGCCCTATAGGTCCACCACTGGCCCCAGTGGCCTCGAGGGGCCCATCAGGGGATTTGTGGGTACAACACTGACCAGAGAAGTCACTGCACATCCTTTCAACCACCTCTTTCACCACCTCGTCCTTAAACTGTGAAAAAAAAAAAAGAGTTTGATTTAGAAGCTAAAAGCCACCGTCTGTCAGTCATTCATCACACTCGTATAAAGTTTTATGTAAAAAAAAAATAAAAGTTCAATGAACCTTTACCTTCTCCATGTATGATCTAAACCACATGGGAGGAGGCTCATCTTCTGGTTTGTTGCCCTTGTTATCTTTGACTGCGACCTATATCACAAAACATGAGACTCACATTAGTTAAATTAGATCATATATAAAATATTTAAGCTTGATTTATATCAATGTAGAAGAAATAAAATGTGTTATGTGACCTTAAAATAAACTGATCTGAGGCAACAATTACATCGAAATGATTTCAGAAACTATACACAGGAGCTAACAAACTATTATTCAAACTGATGCTTGGAATACGTTTTGAGATGTAAATTTCCTGGAGCTCATCAAAGCAGAAAACCCTGTAAAACCCTTCACATGTGAGAATCTATAGGGGAGAAGAAAGGGGATGAAGTGGGGGAGAAACCATTTGTTTCCTTACAGCCTCTCGCTCCGGGGTGACCTGCGTGCCCTTGTCCACGGTCTTGACCCTGGAGGGATAAGGAGGAGCGGGCCGGAGGTCTCCTTTCAGCTCCTTCACCTCCGTCTTCAGCGGGCCCCCGCAGGCCTGCCCTTTCATCTTGTACACGTTCATGTGCAACTGGTTCCCCTGCTTCTCCGCACTCTGAATGGAAAACAAGCCGCAAACACATACCACAGGAGACTGACATGACAATATGCACAATGCAAATAACACGTGTGACATATACAGAAATGTATTACATTACTATCGCAAGACTTTTAATAAAACACAATGTTTAGGATTCATTATATCAACACAGTGAAGTTGTGTTTGCCACATTTATCATTTACATATCTTTACTATTTGTAATCCTTGGTGTATTCTCTATGACTGTAACCATGTGAATGCTGCTACACTGGAACAAGTGCATATTTTTAAAGTCTTCGTGTCTTAAATATAGTCATAGAGTACAACTGAGTCTGTATGATGTATGATGTCCTGTCATATTTTCCGAAAAGAGCAACATCCATGTAATGACAAGTATTTTCTTTTCTTTCTTAAGGTATGCGGTGAAGGTTGACTGAATTAGACTCCCAATCTCTATTCTACATTCTCTATATTCTGCAGGATCTCTGCACTTATCTCTGTAAGTGACTAAGATTTGTGTGTTATGTGCCGTTATATTTAATCCATGAATCCAGCACAGCTCCAGTACCTTGATGGCTTCTTCATACTCATCTGAAACAAAAATAAACCAACAGTAAGTTGCTTTGGACAATTAAATGGTGATGGATTAATAGTTTTATTTCCTGTAATTACCGCTATAGCCTTATATTATATGTTTATGGCACATGTTTGTGTTTTTAGGTTTCGCTTTAAGGAAAATTGAGGCTGCAAGTCATGGTTATTTTCTCAATTGTTTGATTAATTATTCAGTCTATAAAATGTCTTAAAACTGTGGAAAATGTCTGTCACAATCCAAACCAAACAGAGAAAAGCTGGAAGGTTTGACATTTTTGCTTGAAAAGTTACTCAAAATGATTCATCATTTATCAACATTAAGGGCTGCAATTTATTATCAAATAATCTGCAGGTTATTTTCTTGATTATCTGATTTGTTGTTTAGTCTAGAAAATTCAAACGCAATAGTGGAAAAAACACTCAAAATTTCCCAGTACCCAAAGGGACATCTTCATAATTGCTTTCTTGTTTTGACCAACAAATTCTCTAAAACCCAAAGGTATTCAGTTAACTGTCATATAAGGCAAAGAAAAGCAGAAGGTTCTCACATTTGAGAAGCTGGAACCAGCAAATATTTGTCATATTTGCTTGAAAAATTACTGAAACAATAATGGTTACAGATCTTTTTTCCCCCAATCGTCTCATTGTTGCAGCTTTAATTTATACACTCCTTATGTTACTGTTATAACCTTGTATTAAATGTCTATCGCACATGGTAGTGTTTTAATAACTTAAATTCTACTTTAAAGTCATAACACGTTTAATAAAACACAGAAGATTAACCTCACCTTGACTGTTTATGCAAATCTGAAAGAGTGAAAGAGATCAGAATGAGTCCATGAACTTTCATCCAGCCAAAACACCATTATAATTCAGCTATAAGTGAAAAGACAAAACAGCAGTGAACACATTTATATAAACTCCGTTACCTCTTCATTGTCCTCATCAAAGTATTTCACTTGAAAGTGGTTGATCCCAAAAGATGCTTTGATCTGAAATATAGTTTAAGAGCAAACACACACCAAACAGCATGTTAGAAAACCAGGAGTTCTTTTTCCTCACACGTGTTGTGAAAACATCAATAATGGCACGTTGAGAAATGCCTCTACAGCCACCTCCTGCACCTGGGTGAACAAAAGCAGTAAAGCAAACTGGGCAGATTTCCCCTCTTCCCCTACGTATTTTGTGACGTGCTAGTCGGCTCAAAAATGAATACTTATGTCCACATTTTTGTCGCAACAGTACCGACTGTCCTTCAGGTGGTCTATTGTTTACGTGTCTAGGCCATGTCTGGGCCTGCTTCTCGCCAAACTGCGCCAGCGTTTAGCCAACACGCTCAGCTAGCAGCTTACCCAGGCTTCAACCGATTCCCACTCCAATTTGTCCAGATCCTGAGCCAAAAATCTCTTCACATTCCCCCGGAAGTTGACTTTAATAGTAACAGGGAGCCCCATGTCCGCCGTTTAGGAGCAGATAATGGCGATCATTTGCGGTGACACCGGCCTGTTTGATCCCCGTTGCCCTCGACTGTCTTTTCTTGTTTACATCGTCAGCTGCGTCTAGAAAAATACGGTGACGTTTCTTCCCCTTCCTCATGTGAGTTTCCTGGTGGTTGTTAAACCGGATTAAAGGCGCATTACCGACACCTAGCGGCTGATTGAGGTACAGGGAAAGTCAAGGAAAAGTTGGGATATTATGTATAATATTTAACGTTTTTTGCACCACCTATTGTTGTAAAACTGTGTCAGACTTTCTAGTTAAAAAGCCATAACACTATTCAAAACAGTCAATAATAGATCAATAATAATAGCTTAAAAAAAGACTATATTTATACTTATCAAACCTTAACTCAATTAAAAAGTAGATTAAATGTTTAAAACATGGCCTCAAATTTGTAAAACCTCTATTCTATTTGTGAAGACATATTTGAAAAAAAGGTAATTTCACATCTTTCTCCATCTAGACCACATCAGACCTGGATCAAAACCCACTATAGCTAGACTTGTCAAATCTCAACTAAATCAACACAGAGATGCTAAAGACTGTTTAAGACTGACACAGTTTCAGCATCAAACCAGATCCAGCCACTGAACCTAGATTTGTCAAATCTGAACAATTTAACACTGTTGAAAACAGTTTTATTCCCTTTATTCTATTTGGGAAAATATGCAAAAAAAAACAAACACATCAAACCAAGTCTGGATCAAAAAAACACTATTGCTAGACTGGTCTAAATCTGAACTAGATTAACCAAGAGAAGCTAAAGACTGTTTCCCATTTGTGAAACCATTATTCTATTATGTGTTGAATTCACCTAAACAGATTCGGGGTGATTACAGTGAGTTGGCTGTTGTTGGCTGTTTACCTCCTAAGTAGCAGCCAGTTCTGGGCCAGTTCTGGCTGTTATCCACCAGTGTCCGATTATCTTTATTATTTGTGTCCACCAAAGTTGACCTAGATGTGGAGCATCTCACAGTCATACTGTATGAGGGCCAGACTTGGGCTGAGGAACCAGGTGTATTGGATCGTTGGGCTGAATACCTGGGCCATATGTGTTCTCTGGCTTAATTCACAGCTGGGTCCTTGGCCCATGTCTGGCCCACATACAACATGATTGATACAGCATGAATATACTTCCATGGATAGGATACTGGACAGACTGACAAGCAAAAATGTCAATCAAACAGCTACAAAGTATAATGCAAAACACAAACAGACACAAAACTACCACAAATAGGCACAAAACCATCAAGAGACTCAAAATTACCACAAATAGGTGCATATTGACCACAAAGAGATGCAAAAAACGGACACAAAATGACAAGGAAGGGACAAAATGACCCTAAAAAGAGACGCATAGAGATAGCTATAGAGACAAAATGACCAAAGCCAGACACAACACGAGTACAAAGAGACAAAACGACCAAAAATTAATCTGTTTGAATCCGTGGCTCTTACTCTTATGTAGGAGGGGTATAACTCCTGCTCCTGTCGTTGCGCGATGCCAGTTCGATGACTCGCGCACGCGCAGTGAAAACAGCGCGTCATGTCGCATGTCAATATCGTCATCTTTAAGCTCACACAAGTGTGGCTGACAAGAAACAAGCCACACGTTTACAGGTGAGTTTAATGCTGTTTGGACAATCGCTCTTCGCCTATTTGACCACATAAGATGTCTTCACTCCTCAAGGTGGACAATGAAATCAAAACCAAGGTAAGACATGACTCACGGAAATCCCAGTTAAGGTTATACGACGTGTTGTTGTTGTTTGCATTTGCTCGCTAGCATGTTAGCCACATTTTGTAGCATGACGTGCTACAGCTAACGGGGGCTAATCGACCGGTTTCCCGCCTGTTAAGATACACCTGTCAAACCTTCCAACAGGTGTTGTCTCTCAATGACTTTAAGCTTCATGAGGTGTGAGGAAAAGATAGCGTTACGGCGCTCTGTGTGTAGATAACAGCTGCTTTTGGTTGACCACATGCATAAATGAAGGCCTTAGCTACCAAGTTAGCCAACTCTGACGGCGTCAAGTTACAGATTCTAATCTATATTTTCCTTCAATGTTTATTTATCGACTAACAGTTCAAATGCAGGTCTCGCATAAGTTACATATTAACTGTTAATACAAGATACAACTTAAACCTGCACACACAGACGCACATTAACCTACAACTCAAAATGACCAACATAATTGCATATGAAAATGACAAAAAATACAAAACATATGGAACACATGATATGAGAGTAAGTAATAGGATAAGTACTAGAATTATATACATAAATAATAGTTTGTGAAAATAAAATGCAAAAAGTAAAAATAATGCAGTAACTAGTAAAATGATAATAAGAGCATTTATTCAGAGAAAAAAGTCTCAAGACAAGTATTTGAATGGGCCCCACACTTGATAAAATATCCACTGCCCTTTGTGTGAAATAACCAACTTTTTAAAGTTTCAAACATAATGTCCCATGCTTTTGAGTTTTAGACTGGATTTTACTGCTTGTATTTAAAGCTTTGAATGGTCAGGTCCCTGCTTGGAACTGTGATCTGTAAAATACCTATGAGCCTGATCACTGCTTGAGATTCTCTGGAGGGTCCAGACTAACGGTCTCAAAAGCTCAGCCTGTTACTAAAGGTGACCTGGTCTTTGCCGTCCAGGCCCCTCAGCTGGGGAACTCACTGCCTTAGGATTTAAAACAGACAAACTCAATATCCTTTTTTAAATCCCCTCTTAAAACTCACTTGGCTTTTTCTTAACTGATTATATTGGTTGTAATTGTTATCATTTATCTTGTTTCTAAGTATTAGTGCATGCATGATTCAGTGGGAGGGAGGCATATTTCTTGTTTGGCTTTAGTCAAAACCAATTAAGAGGGTTAGGGTCTGTGGGACATTGTAAGATTTCAGAGGAAGTTTGCAAGAGTGATTTCCGAAACAAAAAACAACTAGGGACTGATTTTCATATGAGCAAAACATATGAAGGAGTGAGGCAGGTGCGTGTCTGCATTAGTCACAGATGGGGATCCACCTCAGGGTTAATTCTAGCACTGACACACCAACCACATATATAGAGCCCATGGAAAGGACTTAGGCCACAAAAAATCAGCTTCAAACAGGTTAATCTGGCCATGGTTTCAGCCGGTCTGATATTTGGACTCTTGTCTTATGTGTTTGCAGGTTGATGCATTCAGGGAACGTATCACTGCAGAAGTAAGTATCTGTAAATTTGTAAAGAATATTTTTGTGAGCATTGTTACACACATAGTTATCAAAACTCTTTTTTTTTCAAGCAGCACTCAATTAAATGTTTGTATTTCTTTCAGGCAGAGGACCTAGTTGCAAATTTTTTCCCAAATAAGTTACTGGAACTTGATCACTTCCTTAAGGTTAGTAACCTGTTCATTCTGCTAAATACACATTGCATAGTCTCAGATCTGTGTACATTTGCTTAGGAGTGGGTGATATGTATAAAATTCTACAAAATTCAGTTTTATATACTACACTTTCTGAGAAATCAGTTGAGAAACTCTTAGGGCTGAGGATTCTGACAGTTGAGTTTTAGTCCCACAGTAGATATTGTCATATCACCCAACACTAATCTTATCACATCACAAAGCATATGTTGTGGAGAAAAACAGTACAGCTAACATCCTTGTTGTTATTCAGGATCCAATCATAAACATCACTGAACTGAAGGAGATACACTCAGAGATAAATCTGACGGTGCCAGACCCCATTTTGCTCTCAAACCTGCATGACGGACTAGAAGCGGTGAGGATCCATTTTTTTGGAGTTTAATTAAATCCTCAGTTCTTACAATAACTCCTGTGTGAAGAGCAGAGGTGAAAAATAGTGCCTGATCTTGTTTTATCATCATGTTTCACAGCAAAACGCAAAAAAGAGAAAGCTGGAGGATGGAGGTGGGGAGGACATGGGTGAGTGTAAAACTATTGAGTAAAATAGACTTAAAGCGATAGAATCCAAGTTGCTAGACATTCTTTCTGGATAGACGGACACAGTTTTAATTAAATTCCAAGGTCAAAGATATTGATTTGAATGAGCCTTTTTGTTACACTTGAAGATTGCATTCAAACCTCTATATGTAATAATCAGTCCCTGCCCCTTATACGTTTGAAATGTAATCCTGGTATCCATCTTCCTCTTCATCCCCTGTCTCCCAGTGACTGGCACCAAGGTCTTCGTCATGCCTGGTGGGATGATGAAGAGCAACGCAAACCTTGTTGATCTTATTGAAAAGGTCAAGCCAGAGATCAGGACACTCATAGAGAAATGTAATACAGTAAGTAATGTCTTTTACCAAGGACCATACTCTTGCATCAGTGCTTTATCCTAATGAAGTTATGTTGCTTTCAGGGGAAACGGTAATTTCCCAGACAATTACTGTACATGTTGACTTGACTGATAGCTTTCCAGAGACTGTATTATCCTTTTTCTCAGCACCTTTCTCTTCTTCCTCAGGTCAAAATGTGGGTGCAGCTGCTCATCCCAAGGATAGAGGATGGCAACAACTTTGGAGTGTCGATCCAGGAGGAGACAGTAGCTGAACTCCGAACAGTTGAAGGGGAGGCAGCATCTTACCTCGACCAGATATCAAGGTTTGGAGAAAATGTTATTATATTACACGCAATATATTGTAAAGCATGAAACTGGCACCAGATAAGGTCCCTTAGCAGCTGCAGTTTGTTATGTTTGTTGACTTGTCTGTCTCTTTGAGTGATTTAAGGGTAAGAGCCAAAATTCTGTCTGTCTTCTTTACTTCTAGATACTACATCACAAGGGCGAAGCTGGTTTCTAAAATAGCAAAATATCCACATGTGGTAAGTGGATCTAAAAAATGTCAGTGTACTGCCTGCATCAAAGCTCATTTCTCCTCCATGTTGGTAGTTGAGGTGTTTTACCTTCCTGTTTGATTATAGATCAGACAGTTGCATCTTTTTCATTAGCTATTAGCCTTTTTTTGTTTTTCTATTTATTACTCATCTGCCTGCGTTATGTGTAAGTGCACAGTTAAGCAGTAAG